CCCTCTGTGCTCCAGGGCATGCTCAAGCTTGTGCAAGGGGCTGCTTGAAATTGACATTGCAGAGATACATTGTAACAATGCATTGTCAAGCCACTAACTCTGCTATGGGAGCCAAGCCCTGTAATTGACTAAGGCCATTGTTACTTAATTGAGGCCTGTTCTCTTTAAAACATTGTAACTTTATTCAGCACTCAGAGAATGTTTTAAGCAATACCACCCAGAAACTTTCTGTAACTACAACTCTGATATATGTAAAGTTATTATTACCAGAAACTTTTTGTAACTACAACTCTGATATATGTAAAGTTATTATTATACAAAAACATTGTATGGGAAACATTGAGGAATGTATGTAAGAGAGAGAGAGTGCTTGGATGATGAGTGAATGGTTCTAAGAGGTGCCAGCCTGAGAATACAGCAACAAAGGGCTGAAGAAGGCGTCAGGTGCCAGTGCAACCAAAAGGTGTCAAGTGGAGAAACTGGAGGTCCACCCGATGAGATCACTGATGAGCACCTGGCAGCCACCCTGGAGACATCAGCATGATGCAGCAATTTCCATAAACTGGCATACGAAGAAATTCCTATAAGAACTGGACTAAAAAACTATGGAATCAGAGTCCAAGGTTCTGCTGCCAACCCACCAGAAGCTTCAGATGCGCATCTGATCAAGACTTCGCTCCCCACTACCATCATTTGTGTACAGAGTACCTGGCCAGTATTCTGTCACAAGCAACTTCAAGGCTGGTAACTATACACAGAACTTGAATGAATGGATGTATCAATGAATGTTTATGTTTATGTTTATGATATATATATATATAAAAATAAAAATAAAAAATGTATAAGGGTTAAGTAGTGATAGGAATAAGTAGTTAAACAACGTTGTTTGCTTCTATCTTTTCTTTATTTTTTTTATTATTATCTTTACAATAAATGTGGCTTTTTGCCTTATCCCCCTCATAAGATCCTGCTTGCTTTTATTTGGTATAACATTTGATAATCCGGCACCCCCTGGGTCCTAAAGGTGCCAGATTATCGGAAGTTTACTGTATAATTGGGTTATAATATTTTTAAAACATGGCCCTTGCATCCTTATAATTTTATTTCTTTTTTTGTGGGAATGCTCGTCAGTTATAGCACCACTGTATCTCAATAGCAGACTGGGGGGGTGGGGGGGAAAAGAGTCTTTTTAAAATTCATTCAGAAATTAAACAATAAAGATGCCAAAGGTTTCCCTACTATCATCTGTTTATCAATTTTATATTTTTCTTTTCTTCGCTTTTATAGAATAAAAGATATAATCTCAACTACAGAAGTAATAAGAAGCATCAAATTAAGAGACTGACTACAAGCAAGGTAAAATGAATTTGATTGTTCTTATTTCATGGCTTTTCCAAGTTTACCAAGAAAGGTAAACTTACACTTTTTTTAAAAGCATGGAATGTAATTAAGCACTTCACCTTGTCAAAGTACAAACATACATCTACTTCAGTATTCAGTTCTGATATAACTTCACTTCTACATTAATCATCTCTCCTAAATCCTTATTGGTTTATAAGAAAATTTACAATGTGTTTCTCTGCCATGTGATTTTCTCTCTCAACTCTGCTTCTCCCTACATCGCCAGCAAAAACCCACTGTATTCCCAAATGTATTTTTTCCTGCTTTATTTTTAGCATGAAGATAAAATCCTCAAGGACTTCACAAATCCATGACTAATGCCCTAACGTACGACTTCACAGAATGTTAACACGATATTTTTCTTTGTGGTACATTTCCGAGATTAGACTAAATTTTTCCATGTTTTGAAGAACTTTTGAGTTAATGGATTTAATACTATGTCAAACCTTAAAGTTTCATTATGTATGCATCTATTTTCATTAAATCAAGGATATCAGAAGAGTAACAAGTTTCAATGTAATACCAATTAAAAAAATTAAAATATGTAAGATAAAATCTTGAGACAAAATCCAACAGATATAATTGATTCACCTAGAATGCCTCCATTATTATAGTTCTATTAACGAATTTGGTCTATGTTCCAATTACAGTAAACTTCCGATAATCCAGCACCTTTAGGACCCAGGGGGGGCTGGATTATCAGATATGCCGGACTATCAGAAAGGGGGGCTATGAGGGGTCTGGAGTGGGGTGGGAGGGGATGCCACCCCAGACCCCTCATAGCCCCCCCTTACGATAGTCAGGCTCTGCCCCAGGGGTCCCTGATTCACACTCTGCTGAAACAGATCAGCGGCTGATTCCAGGAAGCCCGGGGCAGAGC